TGGCGGAACCAAGAAAGAGATTTCCATATATTCATCGTAATATTTTGCCAAAAAGTTTTAGGCTTTGGTGTGTGAATAGTGTCAAAAAGATTATGTGTGTGCTCGGGAAATTTGTGCTTCAATTTCTCAAAGTAATCTTTGTTAATTTTAATGCCATTTCCACGTGTGAAGCAACTAAAGAAAAGCCAAAATTGCCACCATTTCCTCTTCTCTTTTCTCGCTTGCTCTGTTTCGTCTATTTTTGATATCATTGCCACCAAATCAACAAGATCTGTTAGTTCTTTAGTGAACTCCTGTAAACTAAATACAAAGAAATATATGAGAAATATTTCTTCGTTGGGTCGACCGTCAATTGACTTCTCCTTGTACAGTTTATTTAGTGCACGTGACTGAGATTCTCCAAATAATTTAAGTGCAGCTTGGAGATTTTGATGAAGAAGTGTGAATGAGGTTGCTGTCCCGTGATAAGTATTTTGCTGTGTAAATTGATTTTGTAGATTTAATAATGTTCGTTTGCAAGTGTAAGCGAGTGCTTTCATCGGAGGTCCGATATGATTAATGAATTCGATTAAGACCCTATAATTTCTGAGTTCTTCGTAAGCATCATCAGTACTCAACCTTCGACTTGGTTCTGCAGCATTTTTATTCAGTTCTTTGTTCTCTTCTTCTTTAATTATTTCCCACTGGAGTCCACAGCAACTTCTTAAACCACCCAAATGTTGTGCCAATCTAGTTAAACTGTTAATGACTTCTCTATATAGTCTAAGTTGACTTTGCATATTTCCATTGTGAATTTCGAGAGCTGCTTGCTTTAAGGAATCTTGAAGTGAAGTAAAAGTTGCGCGATGTGAAGCAATTGCTGACTGTACTGATTTATCAGTGTAACGAATATCGTCGATCAAGAATGTTTTTGTGAGAAGCACCAATAATAGACGGAATGAACCAAGAGTATCGGCAATTTCTTTCCTGTTTTATATTTAAGGATCTTAATAAATAATCCCGGATTTCATAAATTAAAATAAAGAGTATTGATGTTGATTTTACCTCAATTTTTTGCTGGCACTCACAGGCCACACTAACACCGATACCAAAAAACTGATGCATATTCCAATAATGATTATTTTTGTGACCTGTATAAGTCTTGTCGTAACCTCTACCCCATGCTGAGCGCCCTCCCTAGTTAAGGTGACAAATATTATTATATTTGCAAGTGAGCAGGCTACAGAAAACATGGTAAATAAGCTTCCGATGTCAGAGTATTGTAAGAAAACCAGACAAAAAAAAAAAGATTGCTTACCGCTATTGAATGTCGGTTTGTTTAACTTTGCTCTACTAAAAGCAACGATGAACATGCTTCCTCCACACCAAAAAATTACAGTTGAAATATGATCTAAATTGGGCATATCGTTATTATAAAGAAAATTGGCCGTTATCATGCTTCCATAGCCAACCAGCATGCCATATATTCCTCCGAGAATTGCAAATAATACGGCTTCATACATTCCACCCAGAGTTTTTGCGGGGTTGAAAAATACTACCACAGCCCCCACAAGATGAGAAATTTGTAGTTCTCGAAGTCCAAAAGTATCAACCAGAAAAGGGACAAATGTGAATAATGATGCGAGAAAATATGAAAGGGCACATTTGATAATATTCTTTTGGTTAGGAGTAAGCGTCAACTCTTTTATACGATCAAAATATAAATAAAACGATTTATCATAGCGAGGATGATTTCCTAATGTGATTTCGACATCAGAATCGCTATCGTCGTCATAATCTTCAAGCAAAGGAACATGCTCTGACCCTGCAAGAGTATTTTGTCTAAATCCATAAAGAAAAGTTTAATTAAGATATATTATTTAGAAAATAATATAAAGTTTGTAAAAATAAATACTCAACCTTGAATATTCGGAAGATAAAGATATCCTTCTTTTCTGTAACGATCCATCATCCATGATAACACTAAACAGACTCTGACCATCTTCTGTTGGTGAAATAATGGATGATGGACCACCATCATCAAGGTAGTAGGATTGAGGTGATCCAATCATCAAACTATCATTATACTGTCGTAATGT